CTCCTTTAGAAAAAGTCCTGGGAGCGCACAGGACGAGGACGTCTCTGCAGAGCCACACTCCTTCCTCCTAAAAGCAACTGCCGTGCATCCCCGAGTGAATCCTTTACATGCTCCAGGCTATAAAGCTGTTTGTGCTTTGAAGGCGATGGGGTACGGAGGGAAGGACTGTTTGAAACATGTCACTTTGAACTGTGTTGGAGGGTCCCAGGGAGCTGGCCACCTCCGTCCGCCCCGGTTCCCTCGGAGGTCTGGTTCCAGTCTGCAAGCCCTGGAGCCAACCCCACAGTCTGGTCAGGTGGCCCCACTGTGAGATGTCAGGCTGATAAGTGAAAGTAGAGACTTTCGAGTGAAGATCAAGAGTTTACTGCTTGAACTGCATCCCTTGCTATGTGTAGCAGCTCAATATGGTAACAAAAGGGTTTTCCTGCCTGCAGAGACAGATGCTGCCTTTTCAAAATGTTGCTTTACATTTGAAGCCTCAGCATATGCTGTAATAAAGGCCATCCATCCTGAAACTTCAATGGCTTGCATCATGAGGAAATTCGGAGAGGAAGGAGCTTTAGGTGGATCTGCAGAATCTTTTATGAACTAATACCCCATGAAAAAAAATGGGGCTATCAAGCAGGGGTCAGTCAGGCTCAGGATCAGCGCTGTCTTGTGTTGTAGCTGTGCACTCCTGCTACAGTGGACAGGGGAATGGGCCTGAGGTGCTGTTAAAACACCAGAACTGGGGTGCTGTGAAGGAAAAGGAGAAGACAAAAATCTTGATCCTACATTTCCCATCTAAAGGTGCAGCATTTCCGTTAGCTGATATGCAGAAATGGGCAGTGCCACATTTAGCCAGCTGCTGTACGAAGAAGTGGGAAATAGTTGAATCTTCCTCTTGGAGTGAATCTCTGTGCATCTTCTCTATTACTGAGGCTCGGCAAGCAGATGTGAGCATACTTTTCTGGCCCTTCTTCATCCCCTTTGCTGCAGTTTTCTCTCTTTTTCCTCAGTCTCCATTCTTCCAGACAAGTCAAAGACTTGGAGCAAGTGACCAGAGGCAGGGATGTTACCCTGGTTCCCCCCCGACTGATGTTAGGGCAGCACTTGCCATGTCGTGTGAGCAGGGAAGGGTGAGAAACATGGAATCATAGAATCACAGAGTGGTTTGGGTTGGAAGGGATGTTAAAGCTCGTCCAGTTCCAACCCTCAGGCACGGACACCTTCCACCAGACCAGGTTGCTCAAAGACCCATCACACACATCCTTTAGCTTTTTATTTTAAAGCTGTTGTTTTCAATATGCTTTTCCATACCCTTTCTGAAACACATTGCTCTGGCAATTAAGCTCTGTTTGTACACGTGTTTGTGAAAAACAAACCAAATAGTCTTGCTTAATCGTCAAAATGAATCTCACAATGTGCATTTAGTAAGGCCATGATGGTGGGGAACAGAAGCTGTCCATGGCAATGTGTGGATGCGGCGTGCTATGACTTACGGTGGATAATAAACAGAGTGCAAATGCTGGGGTAGAATATGGAAAATGGGCAAAATAAAGAGTCATTCTGATAAGGAAGAGAGGTTACAAAGAGGGATGTTTACACTGCTTACCTATTTTTAATGAATAGAGAGCCCTCTGACCTGCAGAAGGTGTGTAATCACCAGATAGGCTGCCTGCTTTTAGGAACTTGCTCTGTGACAGCGTTGAATGGAGGAGAGGCAGTAAATTTCTGTTTGTTTTAGTACTGACAGTAGGGAGCAGTGCTAAGCTGGCTGCCAGCTGCAGTCACATGGGCTGGAACGAATTCCTGCTTAAAAACACAAGAATTTTTAAAAGAAAATATTTTGTGCCTGCATTTGAATCGTGTTGTGCTGTAGAGGCCGGATTTGTGATTTCATGGCTTTAGAGGCAGATTTTTGTCTCACAGCAGTGTAAATCTACAACCCTTTCACAGAAGCAGAGCAAAGTGAGTGTGAAGTTTATGCAACTTTATCTAGCTCAGCCCTTCCAGAAAAGGGCTGTCAGATGTGTGTGAACTCTGAAGCCCCCAATAAAGATGCTGTTATTAAGTATAAATACATAGTAGCTTCTAATAGCTGTAATTAATGTGTGTGGTTGTTTTAAATGAATAGAAAGTGGTTTTGTGTTTCCATTTTGAAGACAGGGAATTTACTTGAAGAACATAAGAAGCGTGAGTGTCTGTGGGGGTCAGTGACAGGATGGCTGGGGGGGATGCTGCCCCACAATCTCCTTCAGCCTTAGGAGATTTGTGACTTGGAGACTTCCAAGGTGGGGGATTGACTCTTTAGAAGCTTTGGACTGTGGTTTTAATATTTAAATGTTTATTCTAAAGGTTGGGTTCAAATCTCATTTTTTATCTCATTCTCATGAAGGATGTACATGCAGGCAACAGTTAGGGTATGTCTGTTGTTATAAATAATGTGCCTGGGTGTTACTCTGTTGTTCTAGCACAGGACTGAGGGGCTGGGGTGGTTTTGGCAGTGGTGATGCCATGGGGCAGTGTGAGCTGTGTTGCAAGGCACCGCACTTACTGGGGCAGTCCAGTGAACCTGGTCCTGTTCCTGCAGACGCCCCAAACGCAGTTTATGCTTGTGGTTGTGGGGAGATGGGAAAATAAACCTTGTCACCCCGTGTGCTGCTTGTGGAGGGGAGAACCCAGCAGAGCCACTGCAGCCCAGGCTCTGGTGGGGGTGACGGTTTGTCCCAGTTCATCGCCAATGCAGAGGTCTCAGAGGCAGCGTGCTGTGGGGTGGACACACGTGAGGTGAGCGGCTGCCTGGCCTCGATCCCATACCCGCTGCCTGCAGTTGTCGCGGCGCGGGTGCTGAGTGCTGGTGCTGGGGTGCCCCGTTCCTTCCAGAGGCTTTGGCTCGCACCCAGCTGCCTGCACCCAGCGCCCGGCCCTGCGGGGCTCGCTGTGGGAGGCAGGCCGAGAGCGCACCGCACGCTGACAAGATCAGGTTTCGTACAGAGTGCAGCGGCAGCCAAAACCTCCTCTGAAAGCGCTGCCAGAGGAGGAGCCGGTGGTGGTGCTGCTTCTCCCGCTCCCCCTCCCTCTTCCTGCATCAGCCTGGAGTGCTCACGGGAGCCTGCGCCCTGGAAAGAGCCCTGGGCAGCCCTAGGTGGGGATCGGCACCCCTGGGTGAGTGCCCTCACCCCTCGTGTGCACAGATTGCACCCAGGATGCTCACCCTTCTGTGCATGGTGGAGCGAGCTGCAGGAGGGTGGAGATGGGACCTGCCCCAGACACCTTGTAGCTTGCAGGTGAGGGTGTTTTCCAGGGTGGTGAAAGGTGTGAACCCCCTCAAGGGGTGGGGAGGATTGAATTGACATCTCCTGCTTCCTTAACACACAAACTTGCAGCCCACAATCTCATTTTTGCAGCCTAAAGGTGAAGACTTAGTACCATGCAGTTCAGTCCTAGTTACTTTTTGTGCTAGACTGACACATGTTAATGTGTCCCACAAAGAAAGCCTCAGCACCTGCAAGGACATCTTCATGCTCTACCAGCAAAGTTGCTCTGCATGGTTTGTTCTGGGCACCTGGGCTGTATATGGTAACTGGGAGCACACAGCACGGGCAGAGTCCATTTGCACTGTTGTCAAAGGCAACATCATCTTGGTAGTTGATTTGCTGCATGTTGTGAGATGGCATATGCACATGTCCACAGGCTTGGGCACAAATACCCACTGTGGAGAAGGAGCAGCAGCATGGCATAAAGCTCTTCCCTTCATGAGGGCTGAGGACATGAAGAGGTGATCAAGCTGGGGGTGACTCTCCACTTGCCTCAACACTCGCACTGGGATTGCTCCCACGCGTAGGGTGATGGGATGTTGGTGCTGCTGCTCCAGTCCCAGGGGAAACAAGCAGTGTGCACGTGTAAGCCTGCCAGGCTGATCCCTGCTCGATACTGAGCAAGAAGGAATTCCTGAGGCTTCCTTGGGACAGGCTGAGTGTCAACCAGCCTCTGTCAGCATTTCCCAAGCTGTTTTACCCCCTGTCCCACTTCCAGGTGAACTTCACTCTTACGCCCCCAGTTTTCTCAGCCTGGGCACAGTGCCGTGCTGACATGACTGTTCCAGATCCAGGAGCTAATCCAAAGCCCCCAAGCATTCCTGTCAAGGGGGAGTACCCATAGTTCAAAAGTATTGGCATGTGTGGAAAATACTGGTGCTGTGGCCTGCAGGGTTCCTGGAAGTTGTTACTCCTCACGATGCACATCAGCATCGCCGGCAGCCTCTTAGTGAGGTGACCAGGGAGCAGCCATCAGCCTCATGGTTACTGGTGTCAGTGAAAGCAGTGAGCAGGACCCTAGATGTGGGCACATTTCAGCTGGATCTGTGTGCCCCGTTCCACTGGGGCTCCATTACATCCCTGGATGGTTTTATTTCCCCAGCCCCTGCTCTAATACTCACTGCTGTAGTGGCTGAGGCTCAGGGCACAAAGAGCTCCAAGGCACATAGTCCTCTCACCCTCCTGATTTTCATAGTGAAATGTTTCAGCAGCTAGAGTCTCCAGACCCAAACACCATCTAGCTATGTGTAAGCACTATGACTAACCTCTGTCACATGCTGTTCGCTCTCCCATGTCATTCCCACAAGGAGACGTATGGCTGTTCTGTGCCCTCTTTTGATGAGGTTCTCAGACTGCTGGCTACACACTCAGAGGCAAAGCTGGCAAAAGGTTGAGAAAAAGAAGGTTGGGTTTGTCCTTTATTCTGAAGGAGATTGTGACATAGGTTCACTGAGAAAGTTTTCTTCCCTTTCTCTTGTTCATTGACATCACTGCTATCTTATTCATGTATGACATGACCTGGCTACTAACTGTTTATGAACTGAGAACATGAGTTCCTCTGGACACAACTTGCATGAACGTTTCAACTTAACTGGTCTCTTTCTTTCTAAGCTATTAATTGTATTCCATATAGAGAGGCAACTAATAGCTGCATGCACCATATAGAGAAGATGTCAGAGAAAGAGCTGATCTTTGCATGGACTTTACACAAGAGATCTAGCAGAGCGTGGTCACTGCATATTGGAATCATCCTGGAGACAAAGATCTAAACCATTTTATTACTCCTCCCTGAGTCTCTGCTTCTTTTCTCCCAAGAGGCACAGGTGAGGCCTGTAGCTCCCCTTCATTACCTTCACATGCTGCCAAGCTCTTCAGAAGCTTGAAAATGCTGACTTGAGCACAGGTCTGTTTCCTGAGTGATGTGCTGGGCTGTAGGGCTAGAGTGGCTGCAGCACAAGAGTAGGGCTGCTCTTCAGGGGGTCCCAAGGTTCTGAACAGATGCATGTGCTTAACTAAGAGCGCAGAGAAGTTATTTTTGTGATCTAGTTGCAAGGGTTTCTTGGGGCCTGTGGGCTTCTGTAGCTCCTGTGGTAATGAGATGGATTGTCTGTCCAGACAGCAACAGGCATAGAGTGTCCTCCTTGCTGCTGAATGGGCAAAGGTCAATTCCACAGCATGACTGAGGATGGGAGCAGGACTGTAGAAGAAAAGCCCTGGGAAGGAGCTGAACCTCGGGCTGGAGTGCGGTGAAACCTCCCAAGAGGACAAGTCTGTGGCATTTCACTGCAGTTGCAGAGAAGGTACCTGTGAATTTCTTGGTGAATCCTTTAGTCTCTGGTGGTCTGTAAATAAGCATAAAACGCATGTTAGTTTTGGCTCAGGTTTCTATTCTCAGATGAATGAATTTGAATGAACTTGTCTTATCTGTGGAATCTCTCTTGGAACTGATGTTTGCAGAGAAGATAAATGTGCTGCTGCCTGCCTGCTTGTCCTGACTTAATCTGTGATGCGCTGAGCAGTGTCCTGGGGGGATTGGGAGGGCTGGAAGAGAGCTTGGGATGTCAAGCTGCCAGGACCTGGTGCTGTGACCTGTATCGGTTTCTCTATCAATGATAAGGCTGTGGATTGCATGTTAGCAGTAGAGCGTCATGGTGGCAAAGCTTTCCAACATGTTTTTTGTGTAGGAAGGCATTTTACATTCATGTCCTGTTACGACTGCATTCAAATGAAGATATGGACTGGAAAAAACTTCATTCCCCGTTGGTGTGTAGGGCAGGCAGCATACCTGACTACTGTAGCATGTACCACTGGGGAAGTTTGCCTTTAGCTGGGCATGTCTTTCAGGTTGGTTTTAGCAAATGTTAAACTAGCTTCAGGTTGACTGGACTCTCTTTCCAATTCCCTGTGCAAATTCCTGCTACAAAGAGCTTGTGGAAATCATAAGTGAGAGGATGATGCACGCTGCAGATGTAAGTTACAGTTGTAAAATGTAAATTGCAAAGATACTGTTGAAACTGTCTTATAATGGGGGTCCTTAATGTACAGGCTCAAGCTTACTTAGTGTTCTTAGAAGGATGCAACATGAGCAGCACAGTCTCAAAACTTTGTTGTCCTGTAAGTGAAGTTTTTTTCCACAGAATTACTTAAGCATCTTTTAGAGTAAGGATTCATTCAAGGTGGAAATAAAGTGAACTGAAAATGACTGAGGGGTGAGCAATGAGCAGTCCCTATAGGCCAAATCTCAGTAGGAGAAAACACTTAAAGTTTCTTTAGTGCTGGCAGGTTCAAAAGTCAGGGCTGGTTTCAATTAGCCTGGGAGAGTCTCAGTGATAAACAATTCCTGTGGTCTTGAAGCGAAGGGGCTAGCTGCATGCAGCCATTCTAACTACTTGAGCTGGCCCTATTCCCTCTGCTCTGGGAGTAACTGTCTCTTTGAATGAAGTATTTGTCATCGTTTGTATATGAATTCTTCTGAGTTTTTCAGAGCAAGGAAAATACAAAGTTTTCTGGTTAAGGCATTTTTGGTCTGAAAATCCCCCAGGGTATCAGCTTAAAATATGCATGACGTTCATGCAATTTATTTTCTTTAAGGGGCTGGAAAATGTGAGTGTGTGCAGATGTGTTTGTGTGCACATGTGTGTACGGCTGTGTGATCCCCCAAGCTCTGCCTGAAGGGTAACCCCTTGGGAATGGCTGCTGTGCATTGGGCAGTACAGACCCACAGGTGGAGGAGGGCTGCTGCTGCCTGTGACGCACCGTCCCACAGACAGGCTGGCCTCTCCATCCTGGAAACCTTGTTTGCTTCTGCCCATAGTATTTCAAGAGAGGGGACAGGAATTTCAGGTCATTCCAGCTGTGTGTGTGGCATAGGAGCCTATTCAACGCTCCTGGAGCATCTCCACGTTCTGTGGTTGCGTGCGCTGACAAAGCCCATTGTTATAGTTCTTCTGGCAGCCGTGCTAAAGCATCGCAGTGTCGACATGCATCGTCTCACTGGTGCTCGCAGTCCATAAACTGTTGAGAAAATACTTTCATGTCTTGTACATGCTATATAGGGGTAAAGTGAGAAGCTGGGATTAGCAATGCTATACCACTTACTCAAATGATCATATCCTCAGCGTGTTGCACTACCTAGGCAGGTAGTAAGGTGATAGTTCTTTGGGCCATTGCCTTGCGCCTCACTCGAAACTCATGCCAGTCACTTTGTTCCAGGCCTGCCTGGTGACTGGATGTGCCTTTGCCTTTGTGGTTTATTTCTGGGTGCCTAGAACAGCAGTCTTAAAAAATAAAACAAAAATCAAGCAATAATTTCTGCGTTCAAATAATCTTAAACTCCTGATACCCAGCTCTGTGTCTGTCCAACTGTCATGAAAAACTGGTCTGAATGTCGTTTTCTAGAATCACCATTGTAGTGTTTCTATTTTAGAGCATTAGATAGTCAAATCCATCAAAGAACATAAATAATAGCTTGTAGTCTCTTGCTGCATGTTTTTTAGCATGTTTTGGAAATAGCTGTTTTGGTTTGTAGACTTGAAAAGTCTTCAGTCACACGAAATTCTACTTCTTCATGATCCTGGATACATCTATTCAGACTTACTGTTAAAGATTTATGGTAACATGCTAAAGGGATAGGTTGGAGGATTATGTATAATAATAATAGACCACCACATGCTCTTACTCTGTAAAACTTCCATTTCTAGCCAAAATACTAGGAAGCATAAGCTTGGCTTTTCCATTTGAAAAGGACATGCCAGTGTTTTCCCACAGTATGGCCAGTACAGGGGAACCTAGTCAAACAATCTTGGTGAAAGAAAGAAATTTTTGACAAAGATGATTCTGTGCCACAAAACCAACTGCACAGGATAGTTCAATAAGCCCCCTTAAATCATGCACAGTACAAATCCCTTAGAGCAGGAGGATCTATTTTTATCATGAGAGTTTCCATAGCAAAAGCTGATTTAACTCCTTAGGGTGAAGTTCACGCCAGTGCATGTCTCTGTGAAAGATCAAACTCCCGTTAACACATGGATAAGGGACCTGCAGAAATCTTGCATTCAGAGTGGAGAGCAGATGTCCATGCACAAACATCCAAACGTGTGCCAAGACGTTTCTTTATAACTGTGATATGGTTCCTTCACTGGCAGTGAGGACATGGTAGGAAACTGCGTTGAGTAAATGCTATGGTAGTTCAGCGGTGAGTAGATCTTTTGGGTGTGCTCTTCAGAGTAGAAGGTTTTGCATGAGACAGCTTAGAAACTTTATTCTTGGGGGAAGAAATGACACAAATTTCACAGTTCAGCACAGTTTCTGAGCTGTGTGAGGATGCAGTTGCCACAGAAGGAAAACAACTAACAAGGCAGAAAGCTTCCTGCTGAATATGTAGTCAGTTGAGCATCACTGTCTCTGAGCTGCCTGCTGCTTATGCTGCCTAATCCCATGGTAGGTTGGGCTGGCCCAGCTCTCTGAAATGGCCTTTTCCTGGTGAGGATAATGTGTCTGAGGCCACAGGACCTGGTTCTGTCCCCATCAGCTGTGTGCAGAGGAGTGGTGTGTGCTCCTGCTCTACAGAAATCTGCATTGCAAGGCGGGCCTGGGATGCTGAGGACATGCCTGTTGCCATGGCAATGGAGGTGATGTCACAGGTGCAGCATCATGTTTTCTTAGCTGCAGCAGATGGGTTGGAGAAAACAAGCTCATCAGGGTTAACCAAGAAGAGTTCTTACAGCAAGCAGCTGTGAAAAATGGTTTTAGCGTAGGACTTCTGTGACATCTCCAATAAATGATGGATGTGTTGACCTGGGACTTGTGATACCTGAGTCCTGTTGCCAAATCCATCACAGGCTTGGGCGGTGTGCGAGGGAGTGGCAGGATCATTTCACTGTCAGGTGTGATTTACAGGGTGCAAACTGAAGCCATTAGGTTCACATGGGTGTAAATCAGTCAGGATTCATCCTTCCCTGAGCCATCAGTGCTGTTCTTCAGCAGTGCAGTGGGTATGTGAGAGGGAAGCCCTGCAGCTGGGAGCAGTGGCAGTGATTGTGCTGCTGGGGAGGGAATGTCAGGCTCTGAGGAATTCTGGAGCGAATTCCTTCCCAGCAGAGCTGGAAGAGGCTTTAGTGGTTGTTCCAGGACTAGATTTTGTACAGTGCAGTTTTTCCTACAAGCTGTAGCAGCCAAATAGATTCTTTGAATCACAGCACAGTTCCTGTGTTTTTAACTCTGCTTCTAGGTGAAGGCTTCCTACAGCAGTAAATTGTGCCTGCAAAGGTGTGAGCTGTGCCACGGCTGTGATGTCTGGGTTATGACTGGTAACAGACTCTGACCTTTGTCTTGTTAAAATAAAGTCTTGTTTTGGTGTTGTATTCTCTCCTTCACAATTTTTACACATATGCTGCCAATCACCACTAAAAAGAGGTATTCCTATTTAAACTACTTGCTTGAACTCAAAAACTTGAAAAATAACAAAAAAAAAAACAAGTTGCTTTGAAACAAAGTCAGATCAAAGTTTGTTATTGGATAAATACTATAGCAATATAGGAATTAAAAGGTATTGCCTCCAGATTGATTCTTGCATCTCTCACTAAAGCATTTTGGTTTAAAACTGTTTTCATATTAAACTTCTACTGAAGATTATCTTTACTCTGAAGAAATTCTTTGGGTGGCCCTGCTTAAAAAAAAAAAACCTAGAATACAAACTTTAAAAAACATAAATAGTGCTTTAAAAAGGAGTTGAGATCCCTGACCTGTAATCACGCAGGCTTTGCACTGAACTCGGTGTAGGCTGTATTCATTTTAAAAGGCACAGAATTAATTCCAACTTCAGGAATTCAACTTGTCATGTGTAGATGAGAATTCAAAGCAATATGCGAGCTCTGCTGTTAAAATGGCTCGGGGTGTCAGTGTTGAGTTGTTGAGAGTGTATAAATCATATGTATGTGTGATTCTCAGGCTAGTACCTGGGGATTTGCTTGATATGATTATACACACTGCTCTGCTCACTTAGTTCATTTCACGTCTGCCTCAGGAGCGACCTCAGGAGGCGTTTACATTGATTATTTCCCTCACAACAGCCAACACAGTTCAAATAAAGCAGACTATGCATAATTAAAGGCATCATTGCTTTCTCACTCAAAATAGTAATGGGGCAGCGGATCTAATTTCCTGCTTAACACAGAAAGGCTGTGCTTATTAACTATATTCCTATGATTATTGTTTACTAAACTCATTTTAATAATGGCCTGTTGGGTTTTTTTTCCTTTTCTTCTGGAAGATCTGAGCTGTTCTGTGTGTACTGTAAAAG